TGATTTTTATTTATATATTATTTTCCAATATAAAGAAGAAAAATTCAAACAACTTTGTTTATTATAAATTATAAAAAAAAAAAAAAAATTAACATATTGCAAACTAGAGATCTTTTATTTAAAAGATATGTCTTTCTAGCATTTTTGACGCAATTAATCGATAAACTATTCATAATCTACTATCTCCAAAGTCCAAACAAACATAAAAGTTAAATTTTTTTAACCAAAAAAAAAAAAAAACACATCTTGAAACTACCTAGCTAGTGGCTACCTGCTGGGTTGCCACAATCGTTTGAAATGCAAGTAGAACGATCTGGTAGGGAGAAGAATCAATTTCTAATGTGGTATTAGTGGTGAATGATACATGTTTCAAGTTATTAATTGCAGATTTTTTTTAAGTAATTAGGTCAAAACTAAATATTGGACCATCTAAAAATTGAGACCATGTGCTCTTGAACATTTTGCACAGCCCAAAATCCAGCCTGCTTATTGCAAATCATCCAGTAGTGACAGTTAATTTCTCTCGTCTAACAAAAATAAGTATACATTGATCATATTTATGAGCAGCTCAACATTTTAGAGAACTAGCACAAATCTAACAAGTAGTACCATATTCATTTCTTAAATTCACTCAATCATAATATTTATGTCATGATATGATGATAAGGTTAACTAATTAATTAATAGTTAATATAAAGAATTTTACAATCACATTAAAATTAAAATATAAATGTAAAAAGATGGCATCTTATTAACATGGACTTGCTGGTTTTGCAGAAATTTTTAGGACTTATTTTCATATTTGGCAATAATATAATAAAATTGGACTAAATTATAAAATTTTTCGGACGTATAGTATATTTTTTTTTTTTTTTTGAACAATCGGACGTATAGTATATAATTAATGTTATTATTGATTATAACTAGTTTGGTTGGTGTGAGTGACCGTGCACTCTTACTCCTTAAGAAGATGTTGTAGTTCAAAACTCCATTTCTTATGAAAAATCAATATGACCAGTACTTTGCCGGCCTCTTAATTGGATATGCCATTGAGTATGGTATAGACTATCAGGATACGTTGTGGTCTAATAAATAAAAATGTTATTATTTATTATGATAACATTTAAAAAGGGGATAAGGGTCAAACAAACCCTCCAACTATACTGAAATGTGCAATTAAACCATTGAACTTTAAAAAGCTCCAATTAACTCCTTGAACTCGAAAAAATTAAGCAAATAACCCCCTTTTACCTATTTTTACATGTTATTTACAAGTTAATGATATATCATATTATAATATTATTATTTTGATTTTTGATTTTTATTTTTTGTATTTTCCTTTTAAACTATTAAAAATAATTTAACATCATCAATATTTTTTATCGATGTCGTAACAATCGTCGCCGCTGACCAGATTGCCGCCATCACAACTTACCTACCGCAGCCGCTGCCTACTACCGCCGCCTTCTTCCAAATCTGAAAGAAGGCAGCGACGGCCTTCTTCCACACTTTGAAGAAGGTCGTGATGACCTTCTTCCAAAGTTGGAAGAAGGTGGCGTGACCTGGAACCTTCTTTAAGGTTAGGAAGAAGGCAGCGACACCCTTCTTCCAAACCTGGAAGAAGGTGGCAAAGACTTGGAAGTAGGGATGGCAATGAGGCGGGGTGGGTGCGGGGAATATATCCCCCGCCCCCGCCCCCGCGTTCCCAATCCAGTCCCCGCACCCGCACCCGCGCAGGGGTAATGAAATTCCTAGCCCGTACCCGTCCCCGTTCCCGTCAGAATTTTGCAGGTGCGGGTAATACATAACCTGCAACTTTAATTATTAATATTACACTTAAATCTAATAAAAAATTTATACTACAATTATAATTATCACATTGATTTTTTTATAAGTTTGAACATAACTCTAAAATTTAATAAGAGCCCATGAAGTTAATCCTTAATTGGAACTAAAATTGTGTTGGTAGTATAAATTATATTAAGTGTTTACTCATTATGTTATTTGTGTTGTTCCTATTCAATTTTTATTAACAAAAAACTAAGAAGTTTAATTCATTATGCATTTTAATTCAAAAATATACATAAACTTATATAATAAATGAATACTAATAACAATATATATAAGTGCGGGTGCGGGTGCGGGGCGCCCCATACCCGCGCGGGTATAAAAAATTCTCCTCATACCCGCACCCATTACTCAAATTGTGCGGGTATTTTAAAACGCGTAGGGGCGGGGATGCGGGGAACCCATTAGGTGCGGGTAGAATTGTAATCCCTACTTGGAAGAAGGTCGTGACGTCTTCTTCTCAGAAAAAAAAAATAATGAAAAGTGACAGTGATCGAAAATGGCAGACGATCGATGGTAACGGTAAGCGTGGAGAGTGGACAATAGACAGTGATGGTGAGACGCTGATGGTGGACGACAAAAGAATGATCAAATTTGGAAAATGTTTTTTTTTTCTTTATTATTATTATTATTATTATTATTATTATTATTTTATTACTAATTAAAAATAAAAGTTAATACAATATATCATTTTAAATAAATATCTTGAATCCACATAAACTTGAAAGATTTAATCATCAAGTAATTTATTGGTTACCTAAAGGTAACCTATAAAATAGTCTAACTGAACTTTATTTGTAATTTAAGATTCTAATTGAAACTATTTTTTGAAGTTGAAGAGTCTAATTGTAAAAATTAATATAATTAGAAGGCTTATTTGACCATTATCCTTTGAAAAGTAATATTCATAAATCATAATTGATATTGTAATTAAAGGTGGTGAAAAATAATTTTAGTGAAAGAGTAGAGAAAGTATGGTGAAGGGTAGGGGAGTAATTAGCTAGAGACCAATAAAGAAGCGACACGTAAAGAAGGATGCAGTGTACGGGTTCTGTGTATTTTGGTGTCTCCGGTCCGGTGGTTGGATTTAGAACAGAACAGTGATAGAAGTGAAGGCTATGCTTTAATTTCTGGTTGCCTTTTTCAGCCTCACTGGACCTGCTGCGTCATTGCCCCTCATTCATCTTTAGAGAGTGTTTGGTTGGAAGGAAATAATTAATAGAATTGTAATTCGATGAAAAAAGAATAAGATGAGAATAAAGTAAGAATTAAAGTTACATTGTTTGATAGGAAGGAATAGAATTATTCGGTATAAAAATGAAAGAAGTGATATAAAGACTAAAATGTCATTATACAATAATATTAATAATAATATTCAAGTGCAAATATGTCATTTTTTACTCTTCCATTTTCTTTGTATGGATGAATTGCAATTCATAGGGGGGATATGAATTGCAATTCGTTGAATTGAGAAAATTGCGATTCCATTGAATTGCAATTTCTTCAAATCAAACAATTGTAGTTTATCATTTCATTGAATTGCATTGGTATTGAATTGCAATTCATGCCAACCAAACACTCCATTAGGCCATCTCCAACCCATTAGACCATTACACCAAATTCTGCACCAAATTTTACATTAAAGGAATATTCTCAGCATATTCTTACATCAATTTTTATTCATCTCCAACCCATTACACCAAATTCTATATCTAGACTAAAATAATTTGTTTTTTCATAAATTAAAGCTTTAATTTTTTTACTTTAATATTTTTATTATAAAATTTAATTGTAATGCAAATAATATTTTTATTCCACAATAATATAACATATAACAATTATTACATTTAATTTTCAAAATTAACATATCATTTCCATATATGCTCAACCAATGCATTATGAAGTGCATAATGCGCTTCTCTGTCTTTAAAAGAAGTGTTTTCAACCATTGAATTAAATCTCAACAATCTTAACCATTCATTGATATGCGCCTTAGTCCATGCTATAACAAATTTTTTAAATTTAAAATGTTAATTAACAAATAAAATTGGCTAGCCGACGAAATTTTGAGATTTGGCCATCAAGTTAGCCCATTTAGTTTCATGCCAAAACGACGTTGTTTTTATGTTATAGTTTGTGTATTATGTTATATGTATTATGTATTATGTTCGATTATAGGTATTATGTTATGAGTTTATGTGTATTCTGCTATACAATTCTGTACATTCGAAACATGAGATTTTTTTTTTCAAAGTTAAACGACATCATTTTGGTCAGGACGCACAATGCATTATGCGCCCTGATGCACGATATAATTTGCCGTTTCATGCTTGGCTTGCTCAGATTATCGGATTGATTTCCTTATTAGGTCCAGTTTTATTTGCCCTAGGCCCCTAACCCATCAATTTTTTGGTCTTATTAAGCAACCACATCAATTTTGGCAAAGTTTAATTCCTTAGCTGCACTCTAAGGGGGTGTTTGGTTGGATGGAAGACAAATTCCATGGAAAATGTTTTCCTAAAAGTGTAGGAAAATGTTGTTTTATGTTGTTTGGTTGGATGAAAAATCTTTTCCATAGGAAGTTAAGTTCCTAAAGTTGAAGGAAAACAAAATCCTAGCAAGACATTGGTATTTTGTTTTCCAAAGGATTTGGGAAGAAAGTATTACAATATTGGACTATTTTACCCTCCTCAAAGTTTATTAATTACACATGTATATATTATTGTTAAGCGCATATTGGTCTTTATATTCATAATTCCTTACCATTCCAAACCCAACCAAACAATAGAATTCATATTCCCAGTAATTTCTTTTCCACCAACTAAACAATGGAATCCATTTTCCTGGTAATTTGTTTTCCATAGAATTTGAATTCCATTTCCCATCAAATATTTTCCAACGAACCAAACGGGCTGTAATTCTTCACTTAATTGGCAATATAGGAGTGCGTTGGCAAATTCTATCATGCACCCTGTTGTTAAAGTTGATCATGATCCATGTTCATTTTAAAATATTATAAGTTCATTTTTAATACTCCGTATATTGCAGATTCATTTTTAGTAACTTCATTATATTTTGATATATGTTTATCTTAGTGTATTACAAGTCAAAATGAACATGTAGTACACTAAAAATAAACTTCTATTAAGAATCCATCTTAATATGTAAATCCTGGTCCACTGTATCCTGGTAACATGGGTAAAATAATGTACCTATTCAATCCCAGACCCTAGCAAAAACAAGACTAGCTTGTACTAAGACCTATTCCAAAGTAGCACAGCACAGGAAGAGTATCTATTACCTCAGGCAATGTGCTCCGCGAGGCTCAGAATCTTGATGTGCTTCTTTTTCCTAAGCTCGTGGGGAACGGGGCCGAAAACTCTGGTACCGATTGGCTCTCCGTGCTTGTTGATAAGCACCACAGCGTTGTCGTCAAACTTCACTTCGCTCCCATCACACCGGCCCCTTGGCATTGCAGCCCGAACAACTACGCCGTAGTGAACCTCTCCTTTCTTCACTTTCCCACCTGGCTGCGCTTCCTTTACCGAGCAAACTATTGTATCCCCCAGCCTTGCTCCTTTCTTGCCCTTCAATGCTTGTATGCACATAACTCTTTTCGCACCCGAATTGTCTACCACTTTCAGGTTGGTCCTCATTTGTATAAACGTTCTTAGTTGCTGAAAGGGGAAAAAGAATCATATGGCTTGAATAAAGTGCGGGGCAGGCATACTCGTTGAAAGCTTATATCGTCTAAATGCTATATCACGGATAAAGTTGGAAAAAATAAAAAGGATATGCAATAGAGCAGAGGAACCTGTGTGAATAAATCGTTGGATATAATCTCAGGTGATGCTCTCGTGAACAAGGCAGAGTTGTTACAAAGGCCACCCAATAAAGAACAACCTGCTAAGAAACCATAAGTAGCAGGAAGTAAATAAAGCAGAAAAAAAGATTATGTCTTGAAGCCCGTCAGTTTAGTTGGTAGAATCTACTTTAGATGAAAATAGAGTTAATTACACTTATGGTCCTATGACTATTGGGATCTTGTTAATTTCAAAACTAACAACTGAGTATCTCAACTATTCAATTTTTATCAATTTTGGTCCATCCAGTCAAATTGCCGGCAAAAAGTGGCCAGAAAATTTTAAAGGATAAAATCTTGAGGGCAATTTAGTCATTTACTCATCCTTTTTTCTTCTTCCGCCCGAAGAAGAGAAGAGACGTGAAGAAGAAAAAAGGAGCAACTGACTAAATTCCCCTCAAGATTTTATCCTTTAAAATTTTCCGGCCACTTTTTGCCGTCAATTTGGCGGATGGACCAAAATTGATAAAAAATGAATAGTTAGGGTACTCAATTGTTAGTTTTGAAAGTCGTGGATTGAAATTAACAAGACCCCAATAATCATATGACCAAAAGTGTAATTAACCCATGAAAATATTACGAATCATACAGATCAACTTAAACAAGTTCTAAAGTTTTGTAACTAATTGCAAGCACAAGGACTGGGAAACTGGTAGTCAAAAGCAGCAAGCTCTCTTACCACGGAGCAACCGAGAAGAAGATGCAGCCATCACTGGTTACAAATTCACACAACAAATTTATGGAAGTCCTTATCTTTCCTGTCAACATAGATGCATTGATAATAACATCAGTCCACTAATACCAAATAAACGCGGCAGAGCAGAAACAGCAACTCTTCAAATGCAAAAGATTATTAATTCATTTCTATATATAACAAGTCATTCCTTCTATTAGCCCATCAAGATTTTAACTACTTGAACCAAGGAAATTTTGCACAGACCAATCCTCAGTTGATAGGAAACATTTTTGTTTTCACCCTCTCATTTCATCCCATTCAAAACCAGATTTCTCCATGAATAAAGACAGCTAGGGAAAAGTATATTATAAAATGAAACAAACCAAATGTTGCAAAGATTTGCTAAATATGATCAGACCAAGGCTTTAAGAACGACTACACCTAACAGGGCGTTTGGTCGGAGGGAATTTAAATTCCATTCCCACCTAATTCCAAATGCCACTAAATTCCTTAGTTTGGTTGGACGGAATTGCAATTCCGTCCCTCCCCTTTTTTAACCTAAAATTGATGCCTCACAACAACAATGGGCATTTGGACTTTATACTACTTATTCCCTTTCAATTCTCATGTATACCAAACATTGGAATTGAAATTCCCAGTAATTTTAATGTAAACCAAACATTGGAATTTAAATTCTCACTTCATTCCCAGTAATTCATCTCCCATGGAATTGCAATTCCTTTCCCACGTAATTCCCTCCTTCCAACCAAACGCCCCGTAAAGGAAAACACCAACTCATATTCCTGTATCCTACCTATGTGGTAATGTTGAAGTTTAGTACCTGAATACTTACACTAACACACAAGCTCCTAATAAAATGCAAAATCACAAAACCGAAACGCCATGAAGGAAATTTCGAACTCTTTTCGATTTCTACGGTAAGTGAGTTTATCGACAACAATCAGCCTCTAAAACCAAAACTTCACATTAAACCTCGGTTTTTTACACTCCGTGCTCATGCGGCCAAAAATCAATTTCACAAAGAAAACAGAGCAAAGCATTTCAATTTCTAACAGAAACGAAATAATTCTGAAACTGAGATAGAAGGAGACTTACGTGAGTGAGCTAATTATGTGGAGCCGTCAATGGGAGAAAATCAGCCGGCGAAGGGTTGAGCAATGATGAGCTGCAATAAGGGTACAGCAATACGACTCAGATTCGTCACGGTGAGCATTGAGACATTAATGGGCTAACAATCAGATAGCCCAAGTTGTAAAACAGCCTGATTCTCAAAATGGGCCTTTTCTGCTAATAAATTTGCCCCCAATGCATACTAAAAGTACAGTATTTGTGTACATGTACATTACTAGTAGTCCACCCGTGCGACGCACGGTATAAAAATAAAATACAACAATTGTCTCCAAAAAATATACTATAGACACAAATTAAAAATTATTAAATAAACAATTGCATTGCATAGAATGCATTTTTTTTTTAAGTTTCATAGAATGCATATTTGTTAAATAATTAAGTTACATAAATTACCATGCTTTCAAAAATTAATTCTTAACAATTCTCTACTCATGTCAAAATTTATATCAACATTAAACCAAACAAATATATGTCTTACAATCTAAACCAATAAATAGTTGCAGAAAAAAAAATAAACTAACCCTTCTCCGTAATAACAACCAGTGTAGTAGAATTCATATCACCATTATCAGGATGAGAACAACTTGTCTCTAATAGTTGTACATTGTTCGGTATTGTATTATTAACAACATTATCTATAAAACAAATAATAACAATAATAAATCAAAGTAAATAAGAACAATATATTAACTACAATAAAAAAGCAAATATACTATTTTTCAAAATACGACGTGGCATACTAAGCGACTTCCCAAAGACTCCAATTAACACTGGTCCTTTAACAGGTAATTCTAGGTCATTACTTTTTTGAGTATCAATTTGATTATATAATACTTCACCAATATTCTCTATATTGAACAGAAGAAAAATGCAAAAAAAAATATTAAAGTTAGCAAAATACAATTCGATGGCCATAAAAAAAAAAAAAAACATTAAGCCTAAAAGTGCTTATAAAAATTTACAAAAATTAACACCAACTTTCATCTACAAAAATACAAAATTAACATCATAATAATTTAAACAAATAAGCGTTTACCTTATTTAAATAATACATAATTTCTTTTAAAAAAAAAAATTGGCATCAAATATATAATTATATAGACTATAATTTACTACAAATTTTAATATATAAAATTATTAAATTAATTCAAACATACAATGCATAATGTACCAACCACACAACTATTAATTCAATTCAAATACATATATTTACAATATTTGTCTTTAAAAATATTTTTACCAAAATTAAACTCTATTTTTAGTTTAAATTCCTTTAATTATTTCAATACATTTACACAAATCCTAAATATTTATTTCAAATTGTAATCAATAAACCAAAAAAAAAAAAAAAAAAAGCACAATAACATAAAAAATAATTCTAGCATTGGAAAAATAACATCATAACTATATTGCAGAATGATTAGATGTCTTTTCAATAAAATTTTCATGGGAAAACTAATATTTCATGGAGTAGAGTGTAACTTATACACCATTCAAAACTCATAGGCTCATAGCATACACACCTATATGTAAATCCCTTCAACTTCAACTTTAATTATTAAACTATATGTATCTTGTATGCCCCTAAAATGTATAGCTTACTTGTATGCCCAAAAACTTATAGGTTACAAAAACTAAATACTTTTTATTTATTCATTACTCAATAATAGAATACTAACATATTTACTTGTGGGCAAATGATGATACATTAATCTGATGCCCAAAAACACCTTTTCAATAAAAGGTCTAAGGTATTAAGATGAGAATAAGAAGACTCCAAAATTATTTATGACACACTGAACTGTTAGCTTTATGATTACTTCCCCGAATAGTAAAATACTAAAGCTATTACTTGTACACTCTAAGCCTGTGTATCTTGTTTGCACATGATGACACATTATTCTAATGCCCAAAAAAAAATATTTACTATGATTACTTCTCATAATAGTAGAATACAAACCTCCTTACGTACAATCTAACATTAATCAAAAACACCTTGTACAATTTAACAATCCTTTCCCTTTCCTTTAAGAACTTTCACTTCCATGCTCTGCTGCACAACTACATATTCTACTTCTCTTAATAGAAGAAAACACACCTCATTAAGTAGAATCTAATATTAATTAAAAACAACTTATACTACATTAGAATGGGAAAGTAGTTATGAACAGATACTAAATTTGTAATAGAGTCCATAGTACTGAAAGAAAAAGAAAAAGAAAAAAAAAAAAACAACAACAACAACAACTTAGTTGATTATATGTTTATTCTTGCACCAAAGCAATAGGAATACGTGCACTTCAGTGTAGCAAGGCCAACAAGTGAGAAACAAATTAAAATCAAATCTGACAAGGAACATTGAAGGGTTCAATTCCTCACAGATTCACCTAAACAGTATCATCATTCAGGCAAAATACTACTTTTCTCCATAATGGGATATTTTTCACATATCAAACAAGCTAGCAAATATAATACACGACAGGATTAACTTCCTAAAAAGCAGTAAATTAACATAGAAATTGAAACATGTTCAAAGCAGAATGAATAATACATAAGGTAGATGTCTAGGGATGGCAACAGGGCGAGGCAGGGGCAGGGGGAATGGGGTCCCCTTCCCCGTCCCCGTCCCCAAAATGGCTCCCCATTCCCCAACCTCCCGTTCCCCCGGTGGGTTCCCCATCCCCGTCCCCGCGGGGATTTTTCGGGGACGGGGAATCCCCGCCCCTTTTTTGAATTATGCCAATGAATCCTGCATTTTTGGTTTCAATTTTCAAACACCTCCAAAAGTTGGACCAGAATCACCATATACATCTTACAAGTTACAAATTTGGACCACCACATGAACACCTCTATCTAGCATTTATGTATGAATCCTCAAACCTATATATTTCCCCAGTCTCCTGATTGTACATTACACCATAACATGCATGCATTTCACCACTAAGGAAAACCTTCATACATTCATTCATTCATGCTATGAATCTAAAGACATTATATGTTAATATAACACTACACTAATTCTTGTGTTCAGACTTCAGGCATATCTTTATTTGCAGTACATAATTATTGCTACCCTATAAATTGATTGAGTTAATCAAAATACTTCAAAAATATAATTACTAATCAAAACTAATTACTAAATACTTCAAAAATAATTACTAATTACTAAATACTAATCAAAACTAATTACTATTGTTTACCTGGAGCTCGATACAGCGACAGCAGAGAGGCAGACGATCAGACTCCAGAGAGGTAGAGAGTCAGAGACGGCAGAGAGGCAGAGCCGCAGACTGCAGAGGGAGTCTGGGATGGTGCCGGAGCGGTGAGGGATGAGAGTCGGCTGAGGTACTGAGAACGGAGAAGCGGGAGAGCGCAGATGGCAGATGGGGACTGGGGCCAGGGAAATGGGAGATCTGGAGATGACTGCTAGGTTAAGTTTGTTTAAGTTTTTTTTTTTTTTTTATTAATAATATATATATATAAATATATATAATATAATATTATACGGGGAATCGGGGATGAGTCGGGCATGGAATGTCCTTCCCGTCCCCGTCTCTGTTCTCCCCGACAACATTCTCTGAACCCGCCCCGTTGGGACGGGTTTAATTTTTCCCGTTGAGGGGCAGGTTAAACTATCATTTCTATAGATGTCTAGCTAAGTTATTTAGTACCGTATACATAAATTGATTTTATGTATGTTAAAAGTTATAACAAAAAATTTATTATATCTACTATCTACTATATATATATATATACTAATAAGAGTCCAAGAGAGTTAGGTCTATAATGGGTAGAAAAAATGACGGTCAAATTTTTTAATCAAATGAATGGCTCAGATTGATCAGATTTTAATTTTTTATTAATATTTACTAATTTATCCTTAATGAATATGATTATCCGTTAACTTTTCCGTTAAATATTATCTTTTCTGTTACTTTTGGTTAGTTCACCGTTAACTTATTCATTGATTTCAATAAAAAAGGTCTTAGGTTCGAACTTCATCCTAATCAAAGTTGGCATAATTAGTACTTTATTTTAGTCTTATTAAATTAAATATAATAATTTAGTAGCTACAACAAAAGATAATACATATGCATTTCTTTAATTTAGAATTATGTGTCTACAATGTCGTTATTCAAAAAAAAATTTTCATTATCAATAAATTAAATAAAAGAAAAAATTTCATTAGTTATATTGTCTTTATTTTTCTCTAATATAAAAATTATTTACATTCAAATTCATCAATTGATTATGTTGGCTACATTGTCCCTACAATGTCTTTACTAAAAAAAAATTATTCATTATCAATAAATTAATTAAGAGACATAATTTTATTAGTTCTATTGTTTTTATATTTCTCCAAGTAAAAATTCTTTACATTCAAATTTCAAATTCATCAATTGATTATATTTACTACATTGTCTATTATTTTTTTGTGCACTATTTTTTAATTAAATATCAAAGTTATAATACAAAATAATGCTATATAGTTGTTTAGCAAGTATTTTATTAATACCATGAAAATTTTTAAAAAATATAATTAATAAAGCCAATCATATTAACTACTTGAGGGATTTATTGACAAAGAGAGTATTCAAATCTCACAACAAATTGAAGTGAGAATTACGTCGCAATGTCCTTGTTTGACAATCTGCGGCTAGCGTTAGCGAATTTGACCAACGAATTATATCAACGGTTGGTAAAAAGATATTTGAAAAAATTAGCTGTTGTTTAGATTAACATGTAAATGACCTAAGGGTATACATAATAATAATAATAATAATAATAATAATAATAATAATAATAATAATAATAATAATAATAATAATAATAATAATAATAATAATAATAATAATAATAATAATAGTTAAAAAAAAAATAAAAAATTAAGCCAATCATATTAACTACTTCAGGGATTTATTGACAAAAAGAGTATTCAAGTCACACAACAAATTGATGTAGGAAACTACCTCGCAATATCCTTGTTTGACAATCAGCAATTAACTTTTCAATATTAGTATATATTTAATATTTTATGCCCTAATTTTAATTTACTTTCCCTTATGTCCCGTATTTGGTTTCAACCATACCTATACAATTATTTTATTGACAATTATAATCAATCTTGACTATATTATATTGCATTTGTAAACTTATAATTGCCTATTTAAATACGTAAATTTAACATTCAATTAATAATAATAATAATAATAATAATAATAATAATAATAATAATAATAATAATAATAATAATAACAATAATAATAATAGTTTCAAAAAATAAAAAAAATTAAGCCAATCATATTAACTACTTCAGGGATTTATTGACAAAAAGAGTATTCAAATCACACAACAAATTGATGTAGGAAACTACCTCGCAATATCCTTGTTTGGCAATCAGCAATTAACTTTTCAATATTAGTATATATTTAATATTTGGGAAAAGTGCATTTTTCGTCCCTAAGTTATAGGGTAATTGTAGGATTCGTCCCTAAGTGTTGTAAATACCCACTTTTCATCCCTAAGTTATAAGCTATGATGCAATTTTCGTCCTTTTTCTAACAGAGGTGTTAAGTGACTGTTTAATGTAATGGTAATTCTGTCCAAACACATTTAGGCTCATTATTAATTTAATATTTCCCTAATGCAATTGGGTACATCCCTTAATAATTGTCCTCCCTTTTGATTTCCCTTCAAATGGCATCCATCTACGCAAGAGTATAATTAGGGAAATATTAAATTAATAATGAGCCTAAATGTGTTTGGACAGAATTACCCTTACATTAAACAGTCACTTAACACCTCTGTTAGAAAAAGGACGAAAATTGCATCATAGCTTATAACTTAGGGATGAAAAGTGGGTATTTACAACACTTAGGGACGAATCCTACAATTACCCTATAACTTAGGGACGAAAAATGCACTTTTCCCTAAATATTTTATGCCCTAATTTTAATTTACTTTCCCTTATGTCCCGTATTTGGTTTCAACCATACCTATACAATTATTTTATTGACAATTATAATCAATCTTGACTATATTATCTTGCATTTGTAAACTTATAATTGCCTATTTAAATACGTAAATTTAACATTCAATTATCTATGCACGAACAATTCCAATATAATCTTGCCTTGATATACTTTAAAGTACTTATTAAAAAAAAAATATTGGGCATTATCCCAATCGCGCAATGCGCGTAAAAAACTAGTTATATAAATACGTATGAACAATAAGTATATAAGTTAAAATTTAAATACACAATTATTTATTTATTTAAATACATTAAAATTTGAAATATTTAAACATTACATCTATTAAATTAACGGAGAACGAAATTAAGGAAGATTTTTAAAGTTGAGAATTTAATTTAATAAGAATAATAATTGAAGATCAAATCAATAATTTTGCTAATTACCTGTGTTGTAAAAATCGCGTCTAGGCGTTAGGCGGTCGGTTTCCTAGGTGTCTTAGGCGGTTCCTAGAGCCTAGCGATTTTTTCAACATTGTTAATTGATGGGTTATTTTTATAATTAACTCTAATAAATATATGAGATAAATCATGGCTACAGAAATTATTTCCAGGAGAGGCTGAATAGCCTTTGACCACTTACATTACTGAATTTGCAATGAAAAATGACTCTGTCCACCAAAAGTAAAATGAAAATCTCCTCTTATCAAAATTTAAATTCCCATCATTAATAAGGTAATTAATTAATGCCAATTCACCATTTTAGGAAAAGAATAATACGGAGTAGTACATTTACAATCACTTCTTAAAAAAAAATTGATGATGATTTTATTCATTTTTTTTTTGTTTTAATGTTATTGACTCTATTACATTGTAGTATCTGTTTAAACATATTTTCTCATCCTATTAAAATACAAAGAGTCAACGGCACCTTCATTGAAATTCGATCTGATGACCTCTGAGGTCACTACATGTTATTCATTTTATTTTTTCATTATATGTAATGAAATGTTTACTGTAGGACTTTTTTTAAAAAAAAATCATTTTCTTAAAGAAATAGATAGAAATACTCCATCTCTGTCTAAAACAACTGCTTCAGAAAATCCAGAAATTGACGAGTTGACGACCAAACCAGACAAAACCAACCTTCCTCTCTGTTTCTTGGAACACTTTGTCAAAGTACACTCAGTTCTCCATTTATTCCCAGTTTCCCCCCACCAAAACAATGCATTTTCCAAGATTTCTAAACATTTTTTGAGCTGTCTTGGGAAAATCCCAGTTTTCTAGATAAATCTTTGAGACAACTACGTTTATATTGGCATTCCAACCGTGTCTTCGTTCCCCTAATCTTTAATGCAATTTGTTCCTCAGTAGATTATCCTTCAAGCTTCTTTGATCTCTCTCTCTCTCTCCCTCAATATTTTATTTATTTATTTTGGGAGTTCGTCTGATTTACCTTCCTTCAGATTTGGATTGAGAATGAGGAATTGCAGATTGGGTTTTGTGTTACTTCTTTATCTTGCTTCTGTACTGGGAATTGGAGCTTTCAAGTTTCATAGGAGTCATCACACTGAGAGAATAGAAGGTAAAACTTCAATTTTCATGTCTTCCTTCTATTATTGTCAGTATTATCTTGCATTTCTTGATTGCTTGAGCTGCAATTTTGTATGGAAATGTTTAGCTTCTGGAGGGAAAGTTAGGGTTTTACTGGGATTTAGGTACTTATAACAGAGTAGCCACTTTGGATTACATTTATTTATTCTTTATACTTCATTGAAGGAATATGTTGAGCTTTACAGAGTTCTTTAGGCATGTAGGGATGGATATCTTTTTTTTTTTTTTTTTTTTTGAGGGAATTATTGCATTGAAACTTTGTGTGATTCAGGTCAAACTTGCAGCTATTTATGTTATAGTGAGCTTAGTTAGAGGCTGTAGGATTATTGCTACTTTACTTTCTAATGGTAAAGAACAAAATGGTTTCATCCTACAAATACAATTTTTCTTCAAGTATACAGTTCCATTGAGCAATATCTGTAAATCTCTCACTGATAGAGCATGTGGGAGGATGTAAATCACGGTGACTCAGTGATTTAGCAGACATGGCCAAATGCCGGTGCGCACAAGGAATCTACTCACTTTGGACATAATTCCCACACTACCGCCGCCGAGATTTGAACCTTGGTTTCTTCTCCCAAATACTGTCCACTAAACCATTGAGCTAAACCCGTGCGAATATCTGTAAATATTTTGAGTGCATAGAACTTTTGAGTGCATAGAAGGGAGGGACTTTTATTAGTTGTCTAAACATATAAGAGAATTGGAAGTGGCCATTCTTTCTAGCTGAATGGCATTTCCCACTACTCTTTTTTTTTTTTTTTTTGGGTGACGACAGATTAGTTGTCTAAACATATAATGGCGTGTTTGGTTCATGGAATAGGTTAGGAATGTAATGCCATTCTCGGGAACAGACCTATTCCATTGTTTGTTTTGTCATTTTATTCATGGGAATAGCGTTCCCGGAAATGAGCTATTCCCTTTGCTGGGGGAATAGTCATTCCTAGGGGACCCCCTGGTATTAGCTATTCCCAAGTATTTGGGAATAGCTTTAGTACTATAATACCAAAAATACTCTACCACCGACCAACACCAACACATATTTTTATAAGGGTATTTATGTCCCACTACACGAGGGTGTGCATTGAGTAAATCTCACTTGTGACCCTAGTCAGCAAAGTACCACAAGGAGGTAAATCAGAAGGACAATAGGCCGGCCACTCCTGTTGGGAGTCAAACTTGTAATCTTGTGGTTACCTAGTCAACAACCTGACCAACTGGCCTGGGGTTTACTCTTTGTTTCCTTCTATGTTGCAGTCTCAAAACCCCTAGCAAGGCCCAGAATAACCAACATTCTGTAAATACATTCAGATTAAAGCTTAGCGTTGCTCCGAAAAGTAAACTTTTTAGTTTTGGTCTTATTCAAAATTCAGGTAGTGCTGGTGATGTGTTGGAAGATGATCCAGTTGGAAGGCTAAAAGTTTTTGTATATGAGCTTCCAAGCAAATATAACAAGAAAATTCTCCAGAAGGATCAACGATGCCTTAACCACATGTTTGCTGCTGAGATTTATATGCATCGGTTCCTTTTATCCAGCCCCGTTCGTACCCTTAATCCCGAGGAAGCTGATTGGTTTTACACTCCAGTGTACACCACTTGTGACCTCACGCCAAATGGCCTTCCTTTACCCTTTAAGTCACCCCGCATGATGAGGAGCGCTATACAGCTTATTGCTTCTAACTGGCCATATTGGAATAGGACCGAAGGGGCTGATCACTTCTTTATTGTGCCACATGATTTTGGGGCTTGCTTTCATTATCAAGTAAGAAATCGAATCTCGCTAATCTCCCTCTATCCCTCCAAAGAAAATGCTGCCATTTATGGTTGCCTCGTTTTATTGTAGGAGGAAAAAGCAATTGAAAGAGGGATTCTTACGCTACTCCAGCGAGCAACTTTGGTGCAAACTTTTGGGCAACGAAATCATGTTTGCTTGAAGGAAGGTTCGATTACTATTCCTCCTTATGCCCCGCCACAGAAAATGCAATCCCACTTGATCCCTCCGGAGACCCCTCGATCCATCTTTGTTTACTTCCGAGGTTTGTTTTATGATGTTGGTAATGACCCAGAAGGTGGCTACTATGCAAGGTATCATTTGATTATCGAATTGCCATTATGGTGTTAATTGAAGCATGTGCTCCATCTTAACTAAAAGCCTAAGCTGATAGTTGGATTGCACATTAATGGTTATATGCTCAACACATTAGACAAGTGCCATATAATTATCAGTGAGATAACATTAAAGTTAGATAGCTACAAAAATGTTGTAGTTTAACCTAATTGCCCCAAAAACCCATTTAAGGCTAGTTATCTGACATGCTCTCCCTATCCAGAGGTGCCCGAGCTGCAGTGTGGGAGAATTTCAAGGACAATCCTCTCTTCGACATTTCTACCGAGCATCCAACAACTTACTATGAGGACATGCAGCGGGCTATCTTCTGCTTGTGCCCACTCGGGTGGGCTCCATGGAGCCCGAGATTGGTTGAAGCAGTAATATTCGGTTGCATCCCTGTTATTATTGCTGACGACATTGTCTTACCTTTTGCTGATGCAATCCCGTGGGAAGATATTGGGGTATTTGTTGCGGAGGAGGATGTACCAAAACTGGACACAATTCTCACTTCCATTCGACCCGAGGAAATCTTGAGGAAGCAAAGATTGCTTGCAAACCCTTCAATGAAACAGGCGATGTTGTTCCCACAGCCCGCTCAACCCGGGGATGCATTCCATCAAATCTTGAACGGACTTGCTCGGAAGTTGCCACATGACGGGAGTGTTTACTTGGAACCCGGTGAAAAGGTCTTGAACTGGACCGCTGGTCCGGTGGGTGACCTGAAACCGTGGTAGAGGGAACTTTAATTTTGTACACAATTGAATCTTTACTATTGTCCTTGAACCTTAATTGCATGCTGCATTAGATCAGAGTTGTTCATTGTCATTTTAAGAGTAACTGTGGAATATCAAATCTCAACTGTGAAAAAATGTAATCATATTTGAGGCTGTAAGGTTTGTTGCAGTAGTGGTTTGCCCCATGTGCATTACGACTTGACTTTGATCCAATCTTAGATTCTGACATGGTATCAAAACTTGCTCAGTCCATTTTGTGTTCACACGGTTGCTTGCACATGATACAAGCTTCCATTTCAAGGGAGGGTGTGCATCCAAGCTTCCATTTCAAGAGGAGGGTCCAAGTGTCCAACCCCAAGCTTGTTCAGTTCATTGCGTTCACCCAGTTGTCAGTGGTATTAGTAGTGTCCAAAGCTTTCATTTTAGGGGTTGGTCAATTGCCTAGTTGTCCACTTGAGGGGTTTATAAGGCTCTGGCTTAACTTAGATTAACTAATTGATTAGATTCAATTTTTTAGTATAGTTTAACCCATGCGCATTACAACCCAGTTGAGTGACCTCGACTTAATCTTAGATTCTAACAAAAACAAAACATCAAAAGGAGAATAAATAAATGTCATAAAAACTTGAAGCAGATGCAGGCTAAAACCTAAAAGAAACTCCTTTTACACCTAAGCCTGCAATATACAAAATGTAAATAAATGTTGAAGACAAAAGAAACTTCAACATGAATGTGCACAAAGATAAAGCCTAAGCTCAACTAGAAAATTAGCTCAAAGAAATGGCAAAGCAAAAGAAACACTAGAAATTAATAATACTCAATGGATTTCATTTTATTTTCACAAGTCACTAATACATAAAAAGGAAAAACAAGCTAAGGGTAATACAACTAGAGCAAGTTAGGGGCATCCATAGCTCCTCCTCTCAAGAATCTGCCACCAAAAATGGGGCTAGCCAAATATTCAAGTGTAGAGTTTTCCTTGAAGCAGTAGACAGGGGCTTGCCAACCAGGGTCCTCAAGCACTTTTCCCACTTCAAATGTCATCACATGAGCAACCATTCCTGCACCAATTCATAACACTTACAAGTGTGGCAACTACAAAATCTCAAGTATATATAGTTGTATAATCAGAATTTAAAAACATATGGTCCACACAGGTAACTCAATTGGTTCCTATGTGTCACCGCAACATGAGAGTTTAACCCTCTTATAAGGTGACTCCTCGTGGGCACTATAGGGTCGGGTGACTTCTTGTGGGCACCATTCACCTAATGGGATTTAGGCCATGTTTGGTAAAATAGTTAGTCTATCTGTCAATTTTGACTTATTTAACCATTATTAACTGTTCGACTGGATTAAACAATCAAATTAGTCTTTTGTAACAACTAATCGCTAATTCAAAAAAAAAAAACTACTCAAAGTAGCTTTTACAATCAACTTTTTGAGAAAATCATTTTGTATGTAATCAGCTAACCGCTAAAAGGTAATTTATCACACTTTTCAACACTCAGCTAATGCTATCAACTAGTTAAATTAACCCAATCAGCTAACAACCTTTACCAAACACCCCCTTAGCCTTTTGTGGACAAGAATTTAAAAAAATATGGCACAATGGGGAAACATCATTAACCAAATGAGCTAGCAAAATTAAAGATTTCCCTCTCAATACAATAAAATGGATATTCAAATTACCAGAGAAGAAAGCCCAATAAACAGGTCTTTTGGTGGCAACATCCTCATAGTACCAAATGAAATCAACTTTTTCCCAGACATTACACAGAAACCCATCCATGTATTTCTGGCCAAGATAGTTAGCCCCATCAAGCCAATTGGGTCTGAGAATTCCCACTGGGAAAAGTAACACCCTACACTCCTCGTCCTGGTCCAGAGTATAGACGAAGGAAGTCCCATTATCCCATTCCAAGTCATAGTACAGCTTCCCCAGCTGGTACTGGATTATGTTGAAGTTCCTGCCATTAGGCCAGTCATACCAGAGGTCCACCTTTTGCAGGACCCCTTCTGAGGTATTAATGAAGACGATTGAGTGGAATTGCAAGGGCCATGGGGTTGGAACCGGCTCTTCCGCATCCGTGGATTTGATCAAGGGGAAGAAGAAGAAGTAGATCAGTAGAAGAAGGATGAAGAAACTCAAACTGGGAATTTTGGGTTTCCCTAAAAATTGCATTTTTATTCTTTGGTTAGCAAAGAGTTAAGAGGAATGGAGAATTTGATGTTCTCTTTGGGAGTAATCCTAAAGAGAGGAGTGAGGAACTTTGTATGTACAATGTCCTTTAGATAAGGATAAGGTTTTGTTTATCTGTGTATTAGCTGATGGTAAAATAATGTTTGGTAAATTAGTTGTTAGCTGATTATTTGTAAAATGATTTTCTTAAAAAGTTGTTCGAAAAAGCTGCTTTGAGCAACTTTTTGAATTTTGGTGTTTTAGAGCAACAAGCTGTTACCAAAAGTTAATTAATCAAACACTTATATTGACTGTTTAATCAAGTTAACCAATTAATTGTGGTCAAATAAGTTAAAATTAGTTGATAAGCTAACTATGTTACCAAACAGGACTATGTGCAAAAGTTTGATAAAATGTAGACTTTTTTCAACAATGCAAGGAGGATTCATTGCTAGCTAACTTAAACCACTTGATTATTTTGTAAAGATACCATTTTTCCTTGGCATTAGTCTTACATGAACCAAATTCTCTAAGTACAAGAAAATCCCAATCTAAGCTGAAAAGCAAGAATTGCCAGACATGTACAAATGCAAAATACAGCAATCTTTATGAGAAAATTATTGTTGAAAAGCCCAAGACTTTGTATTCATTTCACATTTATTTTTCTACTCTTTATGAGAAAAACTACTGATTCCCAGCTATAGGGCCATCTTGGCCTTTCTTGATATCATCCCATCCTCTCACCCATGGCTGCCCAGGGATTGCTCGAGTCTGAGGTGCAGCATGTTTGTCAAGATTGTTCATGACTTTTTCCCGGACAGAAATGAATACCTAAAACAACAAATCATCTCGAGTCAGAGAGTAAATGAGCGTGGTGAAAGTAATATAAATTTGGAAAGTCTGCTGTTTCCTCACAGGATTACTGGTTATGGCATCTGGGGGTTGCTCCTGACATGTCAACCACTTCCAAAGATCGGGATTCTCCTGCAACCATAACGAAAAGAAAAATGAACTACAAACAACTGCAACTACAATTTGCAAGGGCAACAATAGATTTGGCTAATGCCACTTCAAAATGCAATATTCTAATATGATGATGGATTGGAATTTGGACTTTGGAGACAATTTTTTTGTACTCCTTGGCACTTTTCAATTTTAGAGCTTCTGAATTCTGGGTAATGACTATCGTCTTTGTTCACTAATGTCTGCACAATCATCGTCATCCCTGATGGTACGTAAAATCTTGCAACGCCAAAGGAAAAAGGTTCTATTACAATTATAGAATGATCATCAGGTTTCACTGTTTCAGGACGGATGAAGCTCATTATCCGTTTCCTTAATGAACTTAAGAATGTTAGATCCACCTCCAGTTACTTTCAACAACTACAAACCTCATTACCAATAGTAAAGCTGACTCCTTAATTATGGTGTTACATTTATACATCCATCAATAATAAACTCAGATGTATTCAATCTCTGCAGTAACTTCATCCAAACCATAATGATTATTTTCTGAAAATCATTTTACAGACACAATACCAAAGGCAATCAAGATGGAATCATATTAAACCTAAAACCAAAACTAGTTTTTCATAAATAACCTTGGGATGCTGTTTCTAGAATAAAATCAACACACAACTACACAGGGTGTCTAGGCCACAACATAATGGGAAGTCACTTCACCCAGCATTCCAACTACAAGAAAGACCAATCATGAGATGCACACGTCCAAAGCTGCACAATAGTCTCAGAGATTCAAGCAGTAAAGCTACCAAAGCCACTACCCAAAGGTGTGCACTAAGATAAACCCCACCTTGTGACCCTAACCGGCAAAGGACCACAATGACGTAAACCAGCATACGAGCTCAAACCAAGAAGGCTAATAGGCCACTCACACGGTGAGTTGAACTGGAAACCTTGTGGTTACCAAGACCAACTTGGCTTGGGTTGCTCCCAAAAAGCTTTTGCTCTTGATTGTACTAAACCCAGTCAGTCTAACTTTCTAGAGATTATAGGACAATAAAATTTTTAATATAAAACAAAAAGAGAACATATTAAGCAATCCTAGTATAAGTGAATAATCAATAATTTGAAGTAAAAGAAACCATACATAAAAACAGGCACAAATTAAAATTACCACATCAAGAACATGAACAAGAGCTTTAATCCCATTTTCATCCAGAGAATTTATATGATCCTCGACCCACTTGCCAAGAATAAGGTCTAGCTCTAGGAACCCTCTTTGTTTGCTCCTATATAAAAGCCTAAAAAAGAAAAGCAAGAAACTTTATAATATCCGAGGGTTACTAGTTGCTACTGAAAAATTTTCATGAAAAGAAATGCAAGGGACCTGTTGAATAAACGCCTTTTGGTTTCTTCATTAGAGAGATCGATATCGAGCGATTGGGAATTACATTCTTTTGAAGAATAGAGACGCGAAAACGAACTCAAAAAGGACCTGGTGGAGATATAAATAGAAATGCAAATTTAATCAGAACAAGTTCAGCACAAAAAGAGAGAGAAAAAAAAAAAAACAATTTTATAGGGAAAGAGTGATTGGAACCTGTGGAGGATGGGAGAGGAGATCGGGGAGATGGAAACTGAGGTTTTGGGTGTGGAGTTAAGGATGCGAGGAAGGGTGAAGGCAATGGCTCTTCTTAAACTCGCCATTCTTTCCTCTGTTCGCCGCCGCCACCGACGAAATAAGTGAGATCAGAGGCGTGGTAGAGATTCGCCGGAGAGTTTATAATCTACAATTCTACGTTCATAAGGTTTTTATTTTTATTTTCTCCTTCAAGTTAATACCTTCAATAATCCTTGAGTATTGTGTTTTTAGTATCAAACGTACTCCGAATATAAAATGATCACTAAATATCTTTTGAGTATTAAAAAAAATGACCAGTAAATTTTTACAGTAGAAAGATTTACCAAGTGACGTTATATTTACGACTCACTCAGTTTATCCTTCAATTTAACACCACTTTCATGCATTTGTTAACGAAAGATTACGGGTGGTCACTTTTGATACTCAAATGATGTTTGCTGATATAAGCATAATACTCGAAAGACTATTAGAGGTATTAACTCTTTCTCCTTTTAATGGTCTTCTTTTTCTGAATTTTCTTTTATTTCTAAATCTTCTTAGCAACAATATCAGTGGATTATTTGAAGTTTATTCACGATTTTTTAAGTTAGACAGTCCACATGACGGAGAGAGAAGGAAGAGAGAGGGTTAGGGATCGTTTACTTCATTTCTCTGTTTTTCTTTTCCCAGTTTTCCATTTTTCCAGTTTTCCATCTCCATTTCTCCAGTTTTTCATCTCCATTTCTCCATTTTTTCATTTCTCCAATTTTCTTATTTCATTTACAAATTTCAAAATACCGAGCACAAGTAATAATAATAATAATAATAATAATAATAATAATTTCATTTTACAAATTTAATTTTTAAATAAAAAATTCAAATACACTAATACTAAATGTACAAAATGTAACAAAAGTCGATAAAAACAAATTACTAAATAAATTACAATTATTTTTTTTTTTAGGTCTGTAACAATTTCAATAATTTTAGTACATAGTTTGAGTACATAATAATAAAATTTAATATTAATATAATAATAATAATAATAATAAGTAACAATAGTAATTAAAGGAATAATAATAATAATAATAATAATAATAATAATAATAATAATAATAATGTTATTCACTGGGTAGGGGAAAAAACAAAAGAAAGAGAAAAAGAAGGGGTTGTGCGCTAGAAGGGGAAAGAATAAAAGAAAAGGAAAAAGAAGGGGCTGTGCGCTGGGAGGGGAAAGAATAAAAGAAAGGGAAAAAAATAGGGGATGTGCGCTGGGGAGGGGAAAGAATTAAAGAAAGGGAAAAAGAAGGCATACAACGCGAATCGAAGACAGAACCTCACGGACAGTTTACACTGTTCACGCGTATCACTCCATCTCTCTATTTAGAGACATAAGTTTTTCCTTTCTCCAAATTACTTAAGAAAGGTGGAGAAAGGAGATGGAAATAAGATTTGGAGAAAGAAATTTAGTTAACAACTTTTTCATTTTTCATTTTTCTACCTCTCCAATTTTCTACTTTTTTGAAAAAATTTACATTTCTCCATTTTGGTAAACAACCCCTTAGCTCCTCCTTCAAGGAGGGGTTATTTCTCTTCCCAAGAGAAGAAAAATAAATGAAGAGAGAAGCAACTACTATGCACGTTTCGTGCACAGCAGTGCACTTCTTTATTTTTTTTTAAAAAAAAATAGTTTTTTTTTTCTTCTTTTCTCCCATATTCTCTTTCATAATCATACTTACAAAAACTCCTAAAAATCACAAAAAAAAAAAAAAAAAACTCCACCATAATGAATGCTCTATAGTTTCAGGGATATTTCTATATATTTTTATTTGCTCTATAGTTTCAGGAATATTTCTATATTTTTTTATTTTTTTCTTTTGTATCTTTTATAAATTTTATAATATGACTAATGCGTACTCTACAAATAATTTGCTCCCTCAACTACCAATTCTAAAGGATGAAATTTGTATTACACTTCACACATTCGAGCACAACATAAAATTGATTGCTGACACTACAAGTTATTTGCTCTCTCGACTACCATTCAAGTTATTTGCGGACATTATAATTTGTACGGTCTGCAATCAATTTTATGTTGTGCGTGAATGTGTAAAGTATAATACAAATTTCAATCCCTTGGGATTGGTAGTTGAAAGAGCAAATTACTTGTAGGATCCTCAATCAAGTTAACCACTCATGGGGTCCTCCAAATATAGTAAGTTAATGCTATATGGAGTTTTTAAGTATAGTGAGTTTGTCACGTTTAATCCTAAATTTTCAAGTTAACTAATTGTGGTCTTTTAACTTTCAACTTAACTACTCATGATCCTTCAACTATCAAATTTTAACTACATATGGTCCTTCAACTTTAAAAATTTAACTAGCCAGTGTCTTCTAGAAGGACCACGGTTGGTTAAAATTTGATAATTGTAGGACTATGGTGGTTAACTTGAAAACTGGAGGATCTCTCGAACGCATCGAAGTGATCAATTTAAAAGTTTAGAATTAAACATGTCAAAAGCACTATACTTAGAGGAGGACCCAAATAATATTAACCCCGTTTGGTAAAATAGTAGCTTATCAGTCAATTTTATTTATTTATTTATTTATTTTTATCACTATTAGCTGTTTGACTTAGTTAAAAAAATCAATATAAGTATTTGGTTAATCAGTCAGCTTTTTATAACTCTAAAAATCCTAAAATTCAAAAAGCTGCTGTTCAAAGCAACTTTACCAAACAGCTATCAGCTACCAACTAATTTACCAAACACTTTTTACAATCAGCTAATGTTATCAGCTAGTTATACCATCTAACCCAAACAGCTAACAGCTATCGATTAACAGCCATTTACCAAACAGGTCAATCACCCATATAATACTTGTCAAAACTCATATGATTTAAACTTCCATGCAAATTTTAAAAACAAAACCATATGGTAGCAAGTAGCAACCCAATATGTAATCATAAACGATAAAAATATATTAAAACTTTGAAAAGTTTTTAAGAAAGCAATTAACCTGTAGCAACTACCAAACAAAAACAACAAAACAACTAATAACATTGTACTAATTAAACTCTTTGGTCTTGCTAGTCAAAGAAACAGTAACAGATTGTTGTTAAACATGCAGGGCTCAAGCCAGAGAGTGGAAGCTAAGATTATCCCAGTTTTCACTATCTCCATAGCTCTTCTTCACACCTTGTGCAGTAAGCAATTCCTTCTGTGAGTAAATATGTATACAACAGAACAATATTTCGGGCAGGCAACCGAACAATCGTTCTTCACATTAGAAACTTATCTCTCGCCTTTCAGCAAAGAATTTACCGCTTACACACATGTCGGGCAGCAGTGCCAGCCAGACTGCGGTATCAGCTGCATCTTCGGGGGAAATACTCCCGGCCCAACCCGTCATGGCGGTCTTCACCCAACCCGGACAATAGCAATTGATGTATATCTTTTGACCCTCTTCACGTCCTGAAAGTTCGTGCGCCATTAGCCTAGTGAAAGCGTTAACTGCAAGCTTTGATACCGAGTAGTCTGTAAGCGTTTCGGGCCACCCCCCCGACACCCAACTCCCATCTTTTGCTTGGTCTAGAAATTTTTCCACCATCTGATCAATAAATTCCTCTGATAGTGACTCGACATCTTCCAGTTTTTCTCTCATTTCAACGTTTTCGATTTTCTGGCAAAATCAAGCAAGATGGCATTATCTAAGATGCCATAACATAACACTTCTAGTTGCAAACTTGCAATTAAGAAACTCCGAAAACCAAAAGAAAGAAAGAAAAACGCTTTAATGATAAGTGGCAAGAACAGAAAAGCGTATAATTAATAGCCCTTACTTACATTCCGCTTGCCTGTAAATCTTCCTAATCGAGAGGACACACTAACAATACGCCCGCCTGCAGTTGAGGGCCTCATCAATGGAATCATAGCTTTAATCATATTTTTCGTGCCATAATAGTTTGTCTTGATAACTGTTTCTGCATGCTCCACAGAGTTTTCTTTACCAAAGTTGAAATTAACACCTGCATTGTTTATCTAGACATTTGCAAAAACAATTAGTGAATACTTATAAAAAGTAGAGAGAAATAACGATAAGAATAATAAATTAAAGCAGCTCCAAGATTCACACACAAAGAGAAAAGGAAAAAATGGATTCATAAAAGTAAAGAAAAAACAAAACTTTAGAATACTTAAAATGAGTCTCAAAGTGACACCTATTCTAATAACACCGAATGGAAAGCATACCAATATATCTATAACACCGTATTCTTCTTTTATCCAATTAGAAAACGTCTCTATTGATACAGGATCTACAATGTCCAGTTGATGGAATACTACATTCAACCCTCCTTCTTGCAACACCTTTACTGATTCTTCTCCAACGGCCGTCTCTCGCGAAGTAAGAACTACTGTCAAGCCATGCATTGCAAGTTGGTGAGTGATCTCGAATCCAATTCCTCTATTTGCTCCGGACACCACAGCAATCGTCTCTGTTGTCCACCATCTGAACATAATAAACACTTATAACTCCAATGCTGAGAATTTATTATTCATTTCAATATGTGTTTCACACAATGATTCATACTTTATTTCCATTTAGTGGTAACTTGAATAATTTAAAGCAGCAAAAGAAATACCATATGTTGCAGATTGTTAACATAATGTGGAAATTGAATTGGATTAAGGTTAAATACAGTGTGTAGTAACACTAAGGGTGTGTTTGGTTGACAGGTTTAGCCATCAAGAATGGGTATCAAAGTCATTATTATTGTTTGGTTGACAGGTTTGTAGAACACTACTATAGGTTTTGATTACCCCTTAATTTAAAAACCCATTCCCTAATAAAATAATGGTTTCATTCCATTATTCCTCGTCATACATAATCAAACAGCAATATTGATAATCATTCACATTCCACCCTACTACCAAACATGCAAAATACTTTCACCAAAACCCATTACAATTACCAAGTATTTGATATTCATTCCGATTCCCGAACCAAACACATCCTAAATTTTCATGATTTCTTGGAAAGTGGACCTTTTCAATTCACCAAAAATGGAAATACTCAAATACCCAAAACAATGAAATCAATAAAATGATATCTTGCCAACAATTATGTAGTGTAATGACACCTCTAATACCATTCCAAATACAAG